GCACAAACCTTTAACAAACCATGTTTTAAAGCCCATGTCTTTCCTACCTGGTTCAAATGACATATTGCCCCAGATCGGGGAGAATTGGGATAGTATTGGTATTTCATTTTTGAATTTATGTACATCATACCATACTCGGATAGTATTTTTAACAAATGGGTTGGAAGTATTTTTTAATAAGTCTTTGCATTTCCTTGAGTATAGGTATGAATTTAGGGTTAAAGGAGTGGTATTTATATTTTCTAATTTTACCCACGACATATCAGTTGCTGAAAACCAGCAAGAAGCACTAGAGAGCTGAGCAGCCCAATAATACCACTTGAAATTTGGCACACCCAGCCCACCTCTGTCATATGGAAGATATAGTAAGGATAATCGTAATCGGGCTCGTCTGTTGTTCCAAATGAAGTTATTTAGAATTGTTTGAATTTTTGTAAAAAAAAACATCAGGAGGGTTAAGAGGGATAGCCTGGAAAAGATATAAGAATTTAGGGAGAACGTTCATTTTGAGAATATTTATACGGCCAATCATAGATATAGGCAAGGTAGACCATCTATCAAGCGATTCCATCATTGAATTAACCACCGGCGTGTAATTTGTCCGAACCAAATCATCTATGTCTGGAGTAATCTTTATGCCTAAGTAAGTAAGGCTCTCTTTTGCTACCTGAAATGTTGTATGAATTGGAGGGTGATTTCTTTCAGCCTGTTTTAAAAATAGGATGGCGGATTTAGATTCATTAAGTTTATAACCGGAAAGATAACTAAACTCATTGATAGTTTTAAGGAGTTGGGGGATTGAGCAATTTAGATTGGATAACATTAAAATAATATCATCGGCAAATAGTCCAATTTTAGATTCAATATTTTTTTTTCCTGACACCATGTATGTTTTGATTATTTCTTATGGCAATAGCCAATGGCTCAATTCCCAACACAAAGAGGAGGGGCGAGAGGGGACAACCTTGACGTGTGCCCCTACCGAGATTAAATGATTTAGATACAATGTTATTAGTTATAACTGAGGCAGAGGGTTTATTATAAAGTATTTTAATCCAGTTTATGAAATAACTACCAAAACCAAATTGAGAGAGAACTTTGTAGAGATAGCTATGTTCCACTCTGTCGAATGCTTTTTCTGCATCAAGTGAAAGCAAAGCTGTATCCGAGTGCTCATATTTAGCATGAATTATATTCAGCACACGACGGATGCCGTGATGAGCTTGCCGCCCTTTTATAAATCCATTCTGATCAGGGTCAGAGAGGGATGGTAAAAATTTCTCAAGCCTAATTGCTAGAACTTTAGATATTATTTTGGCATCTGAGTTTATAAGTGAGATTGGTCGGAAGGATTCGCATCTAGTGGGAGATTTCCCCGGTTTAGGTAGAACTGTTATGATTGCATTACGTAGGGAAGGAGGCAATTCTTTAATGGTATAACTTTCCAGTAGCATGTTATAGAGGGGCTGCAATAATTTGTTTTTAAATATTTTATATAGGTCCAAAGGAATCCCATCTGGACCAGGGGATTTTCCTGATTTAAGTTTGTCTATTGCATTTGAGAGTTCACCTATAGAAATTGGCATATCCAGATCCAGATCCGATTTAGCTATTTCACTAAGTGTGGGGATGTTTACAGAATTAAGAAAGGAGTCAAGTGATGCTTGTGGAATGTCCCCTTTAGACGTATATAATTTTGAATAATAATCTTTAAAGAAATCATTTATTTTTTGAGGATCAGTCGTTTTTTCATTTTCATATAAAACTTCATTTATTGCCCTCTCATTCTGCAAAGCTTTAATGCGCCACGCTAGGAGTTTTCCAGCCTTCTCTCCCTGATCATAGTAGGATTGTTTCAGTCTGAACATCTCTGCTGAAGCTTTGTTAGTGGATAGTTTGTCATATTTTGCTCTCAGTATTAGCAGTTCTTGTTGCTTTTCTTTAGAGCCCTTTAGATTTAACTCAAGCTCAGTCTCTTTTATTTGTTCTTCAAGTTTTAGCATTTCCATAACGGTTTTGTTGGTTTTATTTTTTTTGCAGCTTATCATCTGACCCCGTATAAAAGCCTTAAAGGCTTCCCATCTAGTAGATGCTGTAGTCTCAGATTTATTAAGGCTGAAGTAATCATCAATATTTATCTCAATAAATTTCAGAAATTTGGGCATTTGCAACCAGTGTGGTTTTAATCGCCAAATAGGATTACGATTAAACGCAATTATGGGTGAAAATTTAAGCATGCATAGTGAGTGGTCGGAGATCAGTATGCTTTTGTAGACACAACTCTTAGTTCTGGTAATCAAGGAATTTGAAATTAGGAAGTAATCTATACGGCTATAGCTATTATGGGTGGTTGAGTGGCAAGAAAATTCTTTCTTTGTTGGATTCTGTACTCTCCAGATATCTCTTAAGTTTAATTCACACATAAAATGTTGAATAACCCGTCTACTTTTAGGATGGGACAGATCCAAACCTGATGATCGGTCAAGCTTCGGATCTAAAGTACAATTAAAATCACCACCAATGATCACATCACCATGAAAAGCTGTAATAGAGAGAAACAAATTATTGTAGAAATCAGGGTCATCTATATTAGGACCATACAGGTTAACCAGAATTAAGTTTTGGTTCATCAGGGATGCTTGGATTATTATGAATCTCCCAGCAGGGTCTATGATAGTCTTTTTTATACAAACAGGTAAAGATTTATGAATAGGAATTGCCACGCCCCTAGAGTGTGGAGAAAATGAGCTAGAAAATATTTGACCAGGCCATCTTCTTCTTAGTCGTGCAGCTTCGCATGTAAGCAAGTGTGTTTCTTGGATAAAAACCACTTTTGGATGGAATTGTTTAAGTCTATTCATTACTTTTTTTAGTTTGATCAATTTTCTAAGGCCTCTTACATTCCAGGAGATCACATCAACAACGGACTCAGTACTCATTTGTTTAATGTCAATATATCATCTCTTTCTGTTTTTTGTCTCAACTGTAGGAACCTGCATTTTACAACCTGAAGAACATTGCACCTTGAAAACATTGAACATTTATAAACACAAAAGACTTTCCAGAGATTTCCCACCAGTGGGAATCTACCTCTCCCTTTCCCCTCTATTCTGTGACTTGGCTATGCTACTGATCCTAAAAAAAAAAACAGGAGCAGAAAAAAACGTCTGCCTAAACAACTCACACCACACCATTAAACTGTGAACCCCGACCATAGGAACCAAGAATTATTCCCCACCGCTATGAGGGGGAGATTTAGTCAAAATGTGTATTGTCCAGAAACATCGATCAAATGAAATATTAATCCTTATTAAACCTTGCAGACGCCATCTAGCGTGTAAGTGTGGTTACCCGTCAGTTTGCTTTCTTGCTTTCTGTATAAATTCTTCCACCTCCGTTGGCGTGTGGAAGAGGAAGCTGTTACCGCGGTGAGAAATCCTCACTTTTGCTGGGAATATCAGCCCAAAGTTTATATTCAGATTACGGAGATGTTGTTTCACCTGGTCGTATTGTTTGCATTGTTTCACCACCTCCACGGATAGGTCAGGGAAGAACATCACATGGCGGCCGTTGTACATCACCTTTCCTTTCAGACGGGCTGCAGTCATCACTCTCATCTTGTCTTGATAGTTTAAGAATTTCATGATGATCACGCGTGGCGGGCCGCCTGGAACACTCTGACCATGCAGCCTGTGGGCTCGCTCGATAATGGGGGGAGATGGAAACGCGTCCTGTCCCAGGACCTCTATCAGCCAGGTTTGCAGAAAAGCAGCGGTGTCCCCTTGTTCTGTCTTCTTGGGTAAACCCACGAGTCTCAGGTTGGATCTCCGGCTTCTGTTTTCAAGCTCATCCACCTTCAAAGCGAGATCCTGGATTTTCTTTTGTATGGATGTTTCCTTGCCTGTTAACGAGGCGACGCCGTCTTCCAGGTTGCTAATGCGGGATTCTGCAGAGGTAAGCCTCTCGAGGAATACTCCAATTGTGTAAATTTCTTGATTCGAGGTTATAATTTCCTGTAGTTGCGTGGTAAAGTGAGTTTTCAAGGCTTGAATTGCTTCCAGAAGGTTAGCTTCAGAAGTCTGGGAGCAAGCGTTAGCCTCCTCCATGTGCTCGGTTTCCACTTCGTTGCTGGCCTCGCCTTCGGGTCCCTCTTTGCTGGAAGTTTTCGTTTTTAATTTATGTTTAGTCGGCATCTTGGCAGGTTGAATTGAATCCCATAGAGTTTGCTCGAACAAAGAATATATTAGCAGTGGTCTAGATATCTAAATGTAGAGTATATTGGTCGGAGCTCAGAGCCCTGCAGCTGCTCAGTCAGACGCCATAACCCCCATGATGGTGTTCTTACTGCTGACCCCATGAAGGGTAAAGAAAGGGATGAAGGGACAGGAGGTAGAAGCTAGAATTTGAATTTGGATAGAGCCCAATGCTGCTCCAACCAGGCTAAGTTCACTGGGTCAGTTGCTATAGTAACTGAGCCAGGCTCAGAGCAAGACAGCTTTATGAAGGGTAAAGGACAGAATAGGCCAGCTTTGGCCAACTTAGTCTAATTTATGGACTAAGGCAGCTTTATGAAACACCCCTTTGGTCTGAAACATGCAGCTTTGTTAAAGATTTTAAGCCACAACCTTCAGCAAGCACTTGAGAGGCTTTGCACTTTTTTTTTTCTTTTTTTACTTTCTGAGAGGAAGGTACATACTAAAAAAGATTCATTAGAAAAAATACAACACATTTATTGAGACGAGTCAATCATTTGGTTATTTTAAGACCATTTAGAGTTATTCTTGATTAAATGTCAAACATGTACAAAAAAAGCTTGCAATTTCTACAACTGGTAAGAAAAAAAAAAAAGATATTTACATTTTTACAAAAAGAGAAACTCAACAAAGTGTTTAGTGAAAATGACAAATTTCTCTTTAAACCGGGGCTTTAATAATTTAATCCTCAACTGGTAAAATATGATTTTACATGGAGAAAAACATGGCAAAAAAAGGGACACTATCTGACAGCAATGCTTCATTTATTCTCTATTCATTGTCTTTTTTTTTTTTTAAACCAGAAATACCCAACACAGGAAGATTAACCCAGTTGACAAAATAGCCACAGTTTGCTCCAGTTTACAAAATGTAAACTATTCAAACAATAAGACATCGAGTGTTTTAAAGATAAAGGCAGGATGAGGATGGGTTTAAACAGAACAGACCTGAGGACTCTTCAGCTCAAATGCAGCACAGTCTGGAAAATAACAAGACATCAGTTTGTACGTAGCCCTGCAGAGTGAACATGTAAGGTAGAAAGTGTTTTTGTTTTTTATGTATACCATGAACAAGGGCATTATTGGAATATGATGATTATTAATTAAATCCTTTAAACTCTCAGGTTTCCATCAAGCGTTCTTTTAAAACAGTATCAAAGGAAAATCTTCACACAACGGTAACTGTTAAGATTTTTCCCTGCACCAAACTGTTTGCAGGATCATGGTGTTAAACTAACCAAAGCATTCAATTTAGGCATTTTTAGCATCAGAAGTTCAGTGTGTAGGTGGACAGATACAGTGCAGTTAATAAGAGCATGAGTTACTGTTAAGACGAAGAGACATGTATTCTCAGACTGTGTAGGTGTATCAGAGGCGCAAACTGGGGATCAGAAGTCATCAAAGACAACTTTGAAAGAACAGACTGATCTCTGAAGAACCATGCTAAACAGCATATATTGTTCACACTGAAAAGCTGTTCGTCTGTCTGTTGTGTCCTGCTCATTTCCATCCACTGAGGGTTTTTTAAACATATTAAACACCAGAGGCCAGTTCAAGCATGTTTCCCCTCCGACTGGTAGAGTAAATTTAGTGCTCATCGGAAGACTTGGATAAGGAGAGAAAGAGCCCCCCATTTGGTCACCAGACAGCTGCCGGTCCACCATGAAAAGCAGCAATTACTGACATCGCTGTGGTTCCTCATCCTCCACCAGCAACCTCTCAGTGGTTATAAAGGCATGTTCACAGGCACAATATATATCTGCAGGTAAAACACCTTCTGTGTCTTTTCAGTAGATGGAACAGAAAAAAAAAATGTGCAAGCCCCCAACATGAGTCCAGGTAGTCCAGGTACTTGATTTTCAGTAGATTACTTCATAAACAGTGGCCTTCTTGTCTCCTGATCCAGTAACAATGTATTTGTCGTCCACAGAAATGTCACAGCTTAGCACAGAGGAGGATTCTTTAGACTGTGAAGAAACAAATAGAGAAACAAACTAAGTGGAATGTAGAAAACACTGACAGTCGGATAGAATGTATGTTTGGGGATCAATAAAAAAAAAAGAAAAAAACATCCATAATGTTTCGACTCCAACTTCATATGAGTAGATTTCATCACATCCTTTATTAAAACAGCAACACTGATGCTACGAGACACAGGGTGCCTTTGGACTGTCGGATCATGCAGGAACCTTATCCAGGAGCCAGTTATTTATTGGTCAGGTACTTTTAGCCCCCTAACCTTAATGAAAACAATAAATCGCTAAAGTGTGGATCTTCGCTTCCAGATTCAGGAAAGGCAAAGAAACATTCCAAGAATTTGTTAGGATTTAAATCAGCCATGTTAAGATTTTTTATAGATGCTTTACTGGGCTTATTTCACTGACTTTTAACATGTATTACTAAACCTGCCCTAATAGACTTTGACAATATGTAAGAAATGATAAGTATTTCCAGCTTTAAAACTAGAATGCTACTAATCTGAGAAATGATTGTATATCACTGCCTTATTTTATTTCATCATTACAGTGGCAGTAGCCTTAATTAATGGCACAAACAGTCAAAACAGCCACACAGCTGTTTTACCAGGCTGTTTTTTTTATTTAAGTGTAGGTTATGGTTGGTGTGCAAAATTCAGAGTCAGCGTTTTAACTGGAACACATTTGTTAACATAACGTTGAAAGTCCTTCTCCCCACCTGGAAAATGCTGGCTCCGTATGGTGTTCTCCATGCATTCAGTAGGTTGTCCTTTCCTGTACTCACAAACCATTTCCCTTTTTGAAAAAGACATAACAAAAAAAAATCCCATTGTAAGAAAAAAATGTAAGACTTCAGTTGCAAAACAAAACGTCAATAAAAGAATGTGTTTCTTACCACAGTAAGCAAACTGCAGGGACAGGACACAGCTCTCATGAAGGTGTAGCTGGTATTTGTCAGGCTTAGTGACATGAAGGACCTCGACGTTGCTGCTCTCCATACCAACAGCTAGCCATTCTCCCGTCGGACAGTAGCCAAGAGAGAAGATCTGGGGGGATGTGAGAGATCAAACAGCTTTAGCTTGTGGTTTCGCTTTGGATTCATAATCGGTTACTTTTACATTTTCAGTAGTTTTAGTTCATTTATAAAAAAGTATGGTGTTTTTTTTTTTTATCCAAGTGTTCACCTGAGAGGTAAAGTCGTGCTGCTGCAGCTGCCGTCCCTCCCTGAGATCCCAAGAGCGAACAGTATTATCCAGACCTCCTGTCCATAGCTTTGTACCATCGTTAGAGATATCGATGCAGCTGGCTCCATCTGTGTGACCCTGAAACTGCCTGCAGAATATAAATACAAGTTCATGGTTGAATGGAAGATAAAGACACAATAAAAGGAGCAATTATTGTGTATTACAGGCTGTGGGAAGATAAATATCCAATCTTTTTGATCAGTGCCTTGCATATACAAATAACATCAAGCCTAAACAGGGATTCATTTCAGAAATAAGAAGAAGATGGTGAACGTTGAGCCAAGTTATCTCAGAAATTCATCCGCTTCAACATCTGCTCTAGTTGTAGAATCAACACTTTTTAGTTTCTTACCTAACAAGTGTCTGGTTGTGTAAATCCCAGACTGCGATGTTTCCATCACTACAGCAGGAGAAGCAGACCTTGGAATCGGGACTGATGGCCAGAGCGTAGCACGCAGGTGCCGAGGATGTCAGCTCTGCTTTAATCCTGGGAGTGGGTGTGGCCAAGTCCCAGATGGACAACGTGCTTGCCTCACCCCCAACGATCAACGTTCGACCGTCAGGAAGGAGACGGCATGAGCGGATGTAATTGTCCCGGTTCTGTTGGGGCAGAAAATAAATATGTTTTTTGTAGGAAAAACATGTGCAAATAAAAGTCTGACACAAAGAGAAACAAATACTCAAATCACTGTTCAGGAATTGTGCTTCATTGATTGAAGAGATGGTATGGCATTTAACCCATCCCTTAGGGGATCGGTGGGCTGCCATTGTGCGGTGCCAGGGGAGCAGTGGGTTTAAGGGTCTTGCTCAGGGAGCCAGACTGCAGCCTGTGGGGATCGAACCGGGTATTTGCACCCTTCTTAGAGTACAAGGGCACTGCTCTTACCCAATAGGGCAACACTCTACTAACAAAGAGGTTTGCACAACTAGATAGAAAGGTACTGCTGGGATCCCCCGTTTACGAGACAGGCACTTTGACTAACCATGCCACAGCATCACCTACTAATTAAAGTTGTCTTGTAAAGGATCCTTGAGGAATCCCTCACCCCTTTCCAATCATCGGCAATCAAATTTACCAAGTGAAACACACTACTCCCTTTCTGGCAGATATTCTGCTGTTATGGAAAAAAAATACTTCAAACTTTACTCACCAAGCAATCAAGTTGTGAGACGGGGCTTTTATTTCCAGGATGACTTATATCCCAGACTTTAACACATCCCTTTCCCCCCGTGTAAACATGGCGGGTGGGATTACTGATGGTGACAGCGCAGACCACCTCACCATGGTTCAGCGTGTTGATCTGGCGGGCATGACGAGGGATTCCTGGTCCCACTAAAGCATCTGGAGGAAAAGGAACTGGCTGCATCTGTCCATCTGCTGCAACATGAAAGGAGTATGCACTATAAAAAAAAAGGAAAGGAGAGAAAGTCACTGATGAGAAACAAAGAATGTGCACTAAAAAGTATTACAAAAAAGTAAAATATTACATACGGCTTTCCACCAGGAATTCCTGTAAGACTAGGAGGCATTCCGGGTACTCGCATGTGAGGGTGAGGATCAAACCCAACCTTTAAGAAGTGAAACATTTACAAGTCAATATAGGTCTATGTAATTATTAAAGATGAAAGGCCAATATTAACCTGGAAATAAAACTACAAAAACTTAAAATCCAGAGAAAGAAACTGGGGGGAAAAAAGAGCTCTTATTGCCATTACTACACAGCTTTAACACATATACACCAGACCTACTAACACACACTCATCTAGGTGCTAAGTACACAACCTGAATCAAGTGTTGTTTAGATGTCGCTTTAACCTATTTAAACTGTGTAATCAACACTAAGTAAATACATCCAGGAGCGATGAGCTGATTGATCACAAAGACAAGTGAAATGGTGTTCTGCGTTTGTCAACATTTCACACAGTTTCAAATATAAATTGCTCAGTGGAAGTCAATAAAGTTGACAGTATTTTCTTTCCTTCTTTTCAGATCAACGCTCAACACCAAAGCAAATTTGTTCAAGTAGAACTGGAAACAAAGAAGTTAAAACAATTAAAGTGAATAATCTTCGTGTGTGGAAACTGCAAATGTTTGAACCACTCCCAAAGCAGCAGTAGGCGTACCAACATCAGCTCAGTTAGAGAGAAGTCAGAATCTAAAGCTGGGTAGGTTCCTCTAAAAATGACTGAATTCTTTCTGAAAGCTGTGCCTCATAACTAAAGCAGCAGTTCGATTCACATTTCTATATTTTGAGTGTAATGTCACACACGACAACAACCAGTCTGAGTTTTGTTATTAACAAAGATCCTTAATATAGCTTTGTGGTTTGATTTTGTATTTATTTCTTTTATTTTAAGTATTGAAAAAAAAATTCTAATAATAATCATACTTTGTTAGTAAGCTCCAAAAACGACTCAATTTTCCACTCACCATAGGTGAACGGCCATATGCTGCTACAGCAGCTGCAGCAGCGGCACTCATCTGAGGCGACATGTTGTGCAGTCCTGCAGCATATGCAGCAGCGCCAGCTGCACCAGCTAGCTCTCCATTCATTCCTGCTGCATGGGGCAGCATCCCAAAGGCCCCCGGATACGGACCAGGAACAGCCAGCGGAGTCCGCAGACCTGCAGCTGAATAAATACAAGAAGTTTATGCAGCATAACCCTCTATTAAATAGCATGTAAAGATGAATTGGGAAAAAATTTTAACCCTTTAAAGTTAACAGTTAAACATCCAAACCCGTCAATGAAAGCTATTGAAAATAAACGACTGGGTAACAACACTTCTATTGATATCAGCAGGAAAATTCACATTAATCAATTAGATCCTTTTCATCCACTTAAAAAATGTCAATAAGAAAATATAAACTGCCACAGTTTTGATTAAAAAGTTAAAATAAAGAAGACCTACTTGGTGGATGGGGTATCTCCATGGATGGAGGTTTCGATAAGCTCGGTCTGACCCCAGGAGTGGAACTAGGACCAGGGGTAGAGTCACCTCTAGGTGTGGGAGTGCTCGACTTCAAACCAGGCGTACCTGCCTTATCTCGCTGCCAAACAGAAAGAAACGTAAATATATATAAACCCTGTTCATATTCACTCAATCGATGTGTCAAGTGAAACAGTGATCCAACTCTACCATCGTCATCTCTTTGGACTTCAGAGATGAGGAGCTGGCCGACGAAGCAGTAGAAGCAGGACTACATGGATCCTTTTTGAGAAGACGGGCCTTATCCAGGCCGTTTTCTCTCGGGGATGGAAGCGGTGTGCCACGAGGGGAGGCTGCATCCTGATGGAAAAACAAACACAAACACATGAAAACCAAACAGCGTTTCTATGGAAATGTTCCTTGTTTATCAGAAAACTAAAGAGTCAACATAGACCATGATTGTTGCAATGTCACTGCACAAAACCAAACGGTGGACTCTGGGATTTGGGTTAAACACGTTAGTTCCTTTAAACTCTGATGCCCCTAAATAAGTCATGTGCAACAAACAGTCAGCATAAGACACATTAACAGTAAATAGAGTCCAGTTTGAATGGAAAAATGTGTTTTAGTTGTTCACTGCTCAAATCTGGGCATTTCCATCTCCATGATGAAACACAGTAGATACATCATTCTGGGTATGAAATTCATGGGCTGGAAGCAGGAAATTAGGTCAGAGAGGCAAATAATTAGGGCTATTTATGGGAAATTCTAAAAAAAAAAAAAAAAAAAAAAATTAAGTGTTTTCTTTACTGGTCACACGTTTGGTCAACCTTATTTTGCTACATCGGTTGAGATCCCAATAAAAAACAATGAACATTAAGAATTCAACATGATAAAATGTGGAAAAAACAGCAAAATATACTTCAGTAAAAGTCTGGATATCCCAAAGTAAACAATCAAGAAACATACTGACCTCATTGGAAACGTCGACGACTAAGTTGTCATCACTTTTCTCTCCATCACTATCCTAATGAAGAAATCAGACTGTTATAACCCACATTAAAGCCTCACTTTGGCCAGAAGAGAGACAGAAAAGCAGAATAGGATCTCACATAGTGGCTGGAATCCTTATCTTCCACTTTGCGTTTCTTGGTATCATTTGGGAAGTCCGGACCGTTGCGCCGTTTATCAGAGTTTCTTAGACTTTCCGGAAGCAAAGAGTTGCTCTATAGATAGAGGATAAAAAGGCAACAGATGAAACAGAAAGGATTTGTCTTGCCTGTGTGTGTATTCTGCATGAACCTGCTAAACCGTTGGATCCATCAACCACTAATTACAAGTGCTTCTCAGTCACGTGTGAAGCAGGTTAGAAAAACAGACTGATGCTCATCAAGAGGTTAACGTTTGACAGAAGCATGAATTAAGCAGCACTAACACTTTAACTGCTACCTCTTTTCTCACTTGACCAAAGCCAGTCAGAGCCAAATACAAACACATGCTTCTGAAGCTGATGATTACATTAAGTGGCTCTCGAAATCTATCAGTGCTCCCTCTCCTGGCTCCGACAAGCTGCATTGGCTGCAGCATGTGTGTGTGTTCTGTGTAATTGACTGTGAAAGCCCGTATGTAGACTCAAATGTGTGACAGACAAGTCAGTGTGTATTAGTTGCATAATATTCTAGTGTCCCTAGACCAAACACACAAAGGCTGAGCCACCCCCCCTCCTCGGCCTCCTGACCAACGGATCCTATTGTTAATGGATTAAAGCTTCATGTTGAGTCCATTATAGTCTCAGCTTGTCAATGAAATGTGCATCCAACAAACACAAGCGCATGCACACATCCAGCAAGGGAGTAAGCCTCACTTTGAGGGGGGAAAGGGTAAATGAAGGAGGATCAGAGAGGGGAGATACAGGGAGGGGGGGAGGGTGAAGATGAGATTTGAGTAGAAAAGATGGGAGGGTTTGGAGGGGAAAAAAAGGTTGATGAGGGGTCTGTATACTACTCCTCCCTCTTCTCTCCCCCCTTTTATTGAACGGTTTTAGTGAGCTAAGCACAGATGCACTGACCCGGCAAAACATAAGCAACCCCCCCCCCCCCCACCACCACCACAACCACCCCCCACGCTTTTAGCACAGTCTCTCTCGCGCACACACAAGCTCAGTGTCTTATGACTGCTGCTCCCTCGCTCCCACCCTTTCCCAAGCCCTCCCCTCTCAGCGGTGGTGATATTAAACACAATGAGAGTCTTTAAGCGCGGGATCAGGGGGATGCAAGAGGAGGGGAAGGGGGGGGGGGTAATCTGCTCACTGAGGTGTTAAATAGGCACAACAATGCAGACTAGGAGAGAGAAGCGTGTTTGTTGTACGTGCGTGTCGTGTGATTGAGCGAGTGTGTGTGACCATGCTAAAAAGCTCATTTGGGGTGGGAAGAGAAAGAGGAAATATAAGTTCTGAGCATATTTGGGAACAAAAAAATAAATAAACTAGAAGTCCAATCCTTAAGTAAAGCATGTCCCCAATACAATCATAATATAGGGTTGAAATATACAAATACAAGATATAGGTAAAACCAAAAAAAAGTACATTCATTCATGATGACTAGATATGATAAAAGTTTGTTGATCTGCAAGGTGGATGGATGGATGGATGGATGGATGGATGGATGGATGGATGGATGGATGGATGGATGGATGGATGGATGGATGGATGGATGGATGGATGGATGGATGGATGGATGGATGGATGGATGGATGGATGGATGGAAACTTCTAAATTTTAGTCCAGACTACAGAGCAAACTTAGCAAAATACTTCAAATCAAAGTTTTCTCACTAAAAGCTAACTGTAAGTATTTGTATTTTGCATGATGATATATACAGAATACATCACCTAACCCTCAAAAGCATCTCCAAACCACAGATTTACTCAAACTGCTCCATGTCATGTAAAATTAATTTGACTTGGAGCAGACCGTTTAAACTTGTTTCTGGGTGATGTTAAGCAGATTTCCCTGATCCACAGATGTATATGAACTGAGGTGAGATGGGATCATCTTAGCCACGACACATCTGACAACAAACTCAGATTCTAGCCCTAAAGAGAAACGAGAGTATAAACTAAACTGTGAGGACAGAGAGCATTGGTGCAGAAACGGTAAGTACTTACGGTGCCAGGTTCTCGCTCTGTCGCCGTTAGAAAACAGGTCACAGGTTTGGGTTTTCATCGGAGGAGAAAAACAGAATATAATGAATACTCTTCTAAACAGCATTTTAAAGTATGTGGATTTTAAAATAAGCTAGAATAAACATTCCCAGCAGAAACTATGACCCATTATCTTAACTGCTCCTATATTTTTACCTCTGAGGTGATCGGGTCCTGCAGCATGAGAGTCTGTACCACCAAGGTGAGGTTTTTTGTCACCACCTTCCTTTCCTGCCAGATGGGGAGGAACAGCACCAAGAGCTCCTGACAGCGCCAGAAGACTTGCTGAACCACCCAGCTGAGATGGATGGAGGCCGGCGGGATGAGGGGTGAGGGGAACAGGGGCACCTCCATGGTTATGAGATAGATGCTGCTGCTGAAGAACAAAACAACAATAAATGTGGGCTGAAGGAACCAGACAAAGCCAGAGTCTATGGGATGAAAATTTGTTATTCTGCAATCAATCTGAAAAACAGTCAAGCTTATAATCTGATACTGATAAAACAAATTCAATCAGAATTGTGGAATCACTGTTTCTCAATGTTTAATTTATTCTGCAGCTTAGAGCTTTAGCTTCTTGTTATCTTTAAGTCATAATCATAGAACCCTATGAAATATGAGTTTAATTTTCTAAATTTAAGGACATATATTGACATTTTACACTGTATTATACTTTTTTATTTATCATTGCTATTAAATAATCTGATAATCTATGTAAATATTCACAAGAAACTAGAAAAAAAATCACAGCAAAGAAATCAGAGCTGATGATGCTTAAAGTAGGCCGCAAATCATTCTGCTCAGTAAAATAACCTTAAAAAAATCCTTCTGGATTGATTCTCAACTTCACTAAAATTAAACTTGAGCAGTGAAGGAAGACACAGTAATTACCTGTCAACCATCAGGAAATGTATTGCTTTGATAGCTTACAATTTTTACAAGCGTCATTGAGCTGAATATTTGGATATATTAAACAAATGGATAAACTGATTCCAGTCAGCTGATATTATAATTATACATTTTGTTATAATTGACACCAAAACTCAACTGGAAGGAAACAACAAAGTTAGAAACTCTAGAGCTCTTTGGTCATGTCGACGAGCAGAAACAGTCTGTGATTACAAGTCTAAACCACATCAATGACAATATTCTGACAAATAACCAAATTAGTTCTCTGGTGGTTCCCCTAAGCACGACCCAACAGCTGAAAAAAAAGTGGAAACCATTGACACCTACAGCCCCCTAAAATCTCAATGAATGAAATATAGCTACTGATACTAAAGAAAAAAATCAATAACACTTTGTGACCTAATCAATCAACACTATTGCCCAATTAAAGACTCCAACAGATGGGATGGGGTCCTTAGTGTCTGTGGTTTACGTCAGCTCAACAAGCTGCAGCTTTCTTCAAGAGGGTGAACACATCATCTCCCCCTACATACTGCCTCACACCCACACACTCCTCCCTCTGAGGTCAAACACTGAACAATACTGACAGCTGGGATCACAGCCCCTAAGCCTGAGGATGTGGACACGGAGAGGAGGGGGGGAAGAGACCGGGCGGAAAGGAGGGAATGACGAAGGGGTAGAGGGAGGAGAGTCCCAGCTGCTGCTTTGCAATGTCAGGTCTTGTGAGGAGCGAGGCTGCTGAGGAGAGGAGAAAAGGAGACAAGAGGGTCAAAAACAAAAAGGGAGGGCAGGTTTGGCTGGCAGCCCTGCTCTCTTTCACACCAAATCAGGCGCTCATCTGAGCATGAAATGTCTTTGTGTTCAAAAACATCATTATTGCCTCTTCAGACAGCAGCCGCTGGAAACCAAGCTCACTGATTTGCCGCAAGAAAGGCAGGAGGAAGACAGGGGAGGAGGGGTTGGGGTGGGGGGAAAAGGAGACTACTCAGCAGGGGTGGGAGGAGCGCTGAAGGTCAAGCTGACTTTTATCTCACCTAATTGACTAACCCACCCCACCTTCTGAGCTTCCACCTTTTTTTCCACCCTTTTCCTCTCCATCCATCTCTGCCTCCACCCCACACTGAGAAAAAGCAAAGCAGCTTACCATCCTTTTAACCTCCTCGCCTGCCTGAAACACAATTTCTGAGCTGGCTTGAAGGCCCCCTCCCCCTCCTTATTTAAACAAACAAACAAAACCACACAAAAACATAAAACCACATCCCACCTGATCACACAAATATGCATAGTCTAAACAAACCAGGCAGGTAACAAACACCTTCACCCAGCCATCCCATAACAGGGAAATGAACACTCTGCTACACTTAACTCACACAAAAAGCAGATGCACAAACACACGGAAACACAAAGAGCCCCCCCCTCCTGATGGGAGTAAATGGAGGGGAAGTATTGGAGCGGGCAAGGGGAGCCCAGTTTGTCATGGGTGTGTAGAGGCAGGGGCAGCATGCTTCATTACACTCATTTAACTCACAAATGGGGTGAATGACAGAACGGCGTGGGAGACAGGAGATTGGGGAGGGGAACAGAGCTGTGACCTACCCCCACCTCCACCCCCTTTGCAAACACTAAAATTCCGCAATTAAGACTCAAAAAGCAACTGCCAAATCCACCTCTCACCCCATCACACAAAAAACAGACCCCCTCCCAGTCCACAACAGCTAACAAGCCCTCCCCAAATTTAGCCAAACCCAGGGGGATCAAACCCTCTGATCCCCTCGCCCACTCTTAGCAAAAACAAAAGCTACGTAAACCCCCCTTCTTTCCCACAATTCCCTTAAACTCAGACTCTTAATCCTCCCCCTCCCACCCTCGCCCCTTTGGCTAAAAAGGCTGTTTCTTCCTTCTTTTGGGGAGGGGGGCGTCTATAACTCCTGCTTAAGGATCAGCTCATTCACCAAGCAGAAGGAAACTTTGCTTCATCCTAAAGCTGAGGAACCACCTACAGTTATGTCACCCCAAAAAACTGAACTTCTATGAACTCTCCCCTACATATTCACATTTATAAAGTATAGAGCTTTTATTTCTTTGTTCAGTTCAGTCATTTGCTAACACAGAGTTTAGGTCAAACTCTTTTCTACTGCAGTTACACACTGCTGACCAAGATCAATGTTTTAAAAGTTATAAGGTTTTATAACATAAAACATAAAGCTTATTTAAATTGATCTTAATCACAATTGCTTAAAATATCCTTGCAACTCATAAAAAAAAATATTACAAACTATGATGGTCTGCACTTTACTACAGGACACCACTGTCTGGTTCTGCTGGAGGTTTCTTCTTGCTAAAAGGGAGTTTTTCCTCTCCACTGTCGCTACAAGCATGCTTAGTGTGAGGGATTGCATCCGAGTCAATGAGTCGATGCAATACACTGGTTTTCCTTAGATAGAAAACTTTGAATCAATTTGACTGTATGATCTGGTTGAACTGTAAAGTGCCTTGAGATTACTTGTGTTGTGAATTGGAGCTATATAAATAAACTGAATTAAATTGCTATAGCGCTTAGAAAAAAAAACTTTTTTTTCTTTTTTTTTTATGGAAAAAGCTTCCTGAATGGGACGCGAAATGTCTTCAAACTTGAAAACAAAGACCAGTGGATTGCTTTTTTTTTTTTTTTTACTTTTTTGGAATTTTAAAGTAAACATGTAAAAATGAATAACTTCGCACGTAGAGCCAGACCCAATATTTACTTGGATTCAGTAAAGTTAGGTCATGTTTCTTGCCAGACATCATACCTTAAGGACTATCTAGTCTATGATTTATGAATTTCTCTAAATTAGCACTGAGGAAGCATTTACTCACTAAGCACTGCAAGAAAATATTGCAGTTTCCCTGCTGGGCAAAGACCCAAAAGACATTCATACCTCAAAATCTACAGTAGTTCTACTGGTCTGACTCAAATTATTACAGAATCTTTAAAATCACATTCCTTGCTTTAAACTTTTTTTAAACCTTTTTAATGTTTTGTTGGGTTTTTTTTTTATCCACTGGACATAACGCTTTTATATTGTCCATATTATCAGCAACATGCATAAAACTACAGTAGTATAAAAAGGTTAAGCTTACAGAAGGTTACAGATTTCATTAGGCCTGTAAGGTGTTCATGTTGCTTTAACAACTCATATAAAATAAACTATGAGGAATTTATGTAGCAAGAAACTAATAGTTTCTTGCTACATAAATTCCTCATAGTAATATTAATGAATATAGTATATATTATATATATATATATATATATATATATATATATATATATATATATATATATATATATATATATATATAGTAATGAATATGAATATAGTATATTCATTAATGAATATAGTATATTCATTAATCAGGCTTTTTTTTTTTCAAACATACTTTAATGACTACAACTAAAATTAAAAGGAAATTGTTCTGCTGGTCATTTGATAGTAGTAAGTAAGAATGTTATTTCCAAAATGAAGGAATCACAAAATGCTCCAATTTTTTTAAAATCAAAACACCAGTGCCTAAACTATCTGATTTACAGTAAAGTAAAAGAAATAAAAGTGCATCAGATATGTTATATCTGAATGCAACCAAAAATAACCATTAATCATCATGGATGATGTGTGTGAGAATGTACTATTCTTATTTATTAGTTGTTTTGTTTCAGTTATTTGTTTTTTATTTCTTATATTGTGTGTAAATGGTGGGACAGTGATTTTTTTGTTTTGTTTTTAAGCATATGCACTGATTAATGGCACTTTTTAAAATGTCGTTCTTGTGACAATGACAATAAAGACAAATTAAATTGAAACTGAATTGATCAAAGGCTTTTGATCGATTTGTTGAATGCATTAGAAATTCTGCCTTTTTGCTTTATTTCACATGTGCCCAGTTGATAATGGGATAATTAGCCATTTTGATACAGATGCAGCTTCAAGTGAAATCAGGCGAACAAAATGCCTAATTTAAGGCTGCAGTTACATTTAAATCGCTACTGTATTTGTATAATGGTTTTCTAATGGGATGCTTACACAAATGACGTTTAAATGTTTGTAAAGGCATCAGATGATCCAGTCGGACTTTACAGACTATTAAAACAACAAAGAAAACAAGAGAATATCCTTTGTGAACGTAGTCTTATACTTTCATCACTTCTTCTAAACAAAATGCACAATTAAGAACATAAAAAACAATCGGAGAAATGGTGTAAGTGTGGAGAAATTAGAGGAATACACACTGTAGGTGGAAGACCTGGCAGTCCACGTACCCCGATGACGGCATTCAGCTCTGCCATGGTCACCTGTTTAGCCCGCTCCACGGCTTGAACCACCTGCTGCTGATGCTGTAAATCATATTCAGACAGACACAGAGACTTTGCTTATGTCTGAGCGGCAGATTTGTATAACAAGAAAGAAGAGGTTGTGTATAAAAGGGAAACAAAAGACAGTCTGGTCACACACATACTTACCTCCTGTGAGAGGAAGGGAATGACTTGTGCACAGATGGTGTTTAGTCTCTTTGCAATCTCGGTCTGAAGACGAAGGAGGAACACAGAGATAAAAAAAGAAAAAAAAAAGAGAGAGACTCAGTTGTTAATGGCATAATTACATCCACTTAGAAACGACAGCTGTTTGGTTACACCAATAAAGCATTACAAGTGCAACAATTCAATTCAATTCAATTCAGTTTATTTATATAGCGCCAAATTCACAACACATGTCATCTCAAGGCACTTTACAGTTCAACCAGATCAAATTGATACAAAGTTTTCTATCTAAGGAAAACCAGTTGATTGCATTGACTCATTGACTCAAATACAATCCCCCACACTAAGCATGCTCACACATACAGACGCACAAGTCGGTGATAAATCTATGCACATTGCATCCGACTATGATGCAATGACAAAACACCACTTCTATCTGCACATAAATTTAATCTGGGACCAGTTTTTAGCTCAGTAAAAGATCTTCCAACTGCTTCTGGGGATATCAGGTTTCTGCCTTTTTTATTATTTCTTTAGCTCCATCTCTGTCCTCTGTTTTCTTGTCCTTCTTTCCCATCAGCACTTCAACATAATCTAATCACCTCCTAACTTCATTTTCCTCCCCCCGTATCCATGCCAACACATCCGCCTGCCCCCTAAGCCCCCCCCAGAGCTGGCTACAACTGGCTGTAACCAGATACCCCCTCAGTAGCTCCAAATCAGATGAAGTGTCCCACATTATGCATCATCCAGTCAAACGGATACAACAACGTCCTGTGAGAGGAAAAAAATCTGAGGAGCCATCAAAGATTAGCAGTAATGGCCGAACAGAGGAAACATCCCACTCGACATAAATAGAAACCCATTTAGCAAGGTTGCAATCACAACCTTTTCTGTCTTTTGTTGGGATTTTGTTTGACAAACGTACAAAAAAGTAGGTAATTGTAAAAATGATACATGCTTTGTGCCTTAGTAGAAATTTGAAAAGTGATGGATCAATTGAATTCCCAAATAAAAGTACAAGCAAAAAAATGAATTTGTGAGGTTAAGTTAAATGTTAGAGGAACAAGAGAAGAGTTCACTAATTCAGAGTGACTCTCTCTGGTGTTCCTGCTCCTCTGTTTAGCTCACAGCTTAATACTTTATTTTTGCCATATACAAGTTGAATTGTTTTTTTTAAATAGATTTATTTATTCATTTATTTTACTGTTTGTGTTACTGTCTTTGTGTCCAAGTCTAAAGAGAGTATAATTTCCAGTGTTGGAGTGGAGCGTTTTTTTTTTTTTTTTGTTTTTTATATATTATTTTTATAGTTACACCAAAACCACTTTAGACTCAACCTACTCTGTTTTTTTTTCCAAATTATTCAAAGAGGAGAGACTTGTTTTTCTGAGGTACGATCTTCTTACTTCTTACGCATAACTTTGCCTCCTTTCAAATAAAACACAAACTACTTCTGAAGAGCATGAATTCTGGGGAAAAAAAAAAACATTTAGAAGCGTCCGATAATGTATCTTGTTTTAAGACATAATGTCTCATTTTAAATATTTAACATTCTTATTTCTACATTTAAAAATCCTAAATCAAGAAATCCTGTCATGTGAAATGATCTTGCTCCATGGACAGAATTTAATTTGGTTTGAGTAGCATTTTCCTTGGGATTTAATGATAATTTTCCTGGTTTTTGACACTGATTTTTCGTAGCGTGAGTAAACGGATATTTACTGGTAACTAGGAGCGAGAGCGCCAGAGCTCAGGAGGGAGAAACTACTGAGAAAAGAAGACTACACAAGTCCGACCTTAAAAACCAGTGGTTAGAAGACAACAATCTTATGGGTTGGTTAAAAGAAACCTTTTGTAGTGCCTTTTACAGTGGGGATACTGCACACAAAAAAAAATTGGTCTGATGAGATGAGTTCTTAAAACCAAGGATCGCAGCCATTATCAGCCCAAAACTTTTTGCAAATGTAGTTGGGATATCAAAAATATAAAGAGCCAGAGCATGATCTGCTATTAGAGAAATAGTTATTTCAAGTCCAACAATGGTTGCGCAGATATTTTAACCCTTTAAACCACACCTATTATTTAATGGTTTTAAAGAGCAGTGGTTTGAAAGTGAGGAAGAAATTTCCCCTTAAGGTTAAATATACTCGCTGTAATCAGAAACCCAGCACACTTTTCACAGTTTTAGTCCTAAACGATATACACTATATTGCCAAAAGTATTTGCTCACCTGCCTTGACTCACATATGAGCTTAAGTGACATCCCGTTCCTAATCCATAGGGTTCAATATGACGTCGGTCCACCCTTTGCAGCTAGAACAGCTTCAACTCTTCTGGGAAGGCTGTCCACAAGGTTTAGGAGTGTGTTTATGGGAATTTTTGACCATTCTTCCAGAAGCGCATTTGTGAGGTCGCACACTGATGTTGGACGAGAAGGCCTGGCTCTCAGTCTCCGCTCTAATTCATCCCAAAGGTGTTCTATCGGGTTGAGGTCAGGACTCTGTGCAGGCCAGTCAAGTTCATCCACACCAGACTCTGTCATCCATGTCTTTATGGACCTTGCTTTGTGCACTGGTGCACAGTCATGTTGGAAGAGGAAGGGGCCAGCTCCAAACTGTTCCCACAAAGTTGGGAGCATGGAATTGTCCAAAATGTCTTGGTATGCTGAAGCATTCAGAGTTCCTTTCACTGGAACTAAGGGGCCAAGCCCAGCTCCTGAAAAACAACCCCACACCATAATCCCCCCTCCACCAAACTTTACACTTGGCACAATGCAGTCAGACAAGTACCGTTCTCCTGGCAACCGCCAAACCCAGACCCGTCCATCAGATTGCCAGATGGAGAAGCGTGATTCGTCACTCCAGAGAACGCGTCTCCACTGCTCTAGAGTCCAGTGGCGGCGTGCTTTACACCACCGCATCCGACGCTTTGCATTGCACTTGGTGATGTATGGCTTGGATGCAGCTGCTCGACCATGGAAACCCATTCCATGAAGCTCTCTGCGCACTGTTCTTGAGCTAATCTGAAGGCCACATGAAGTTTGGAGGTCTGTAGTGATTGACTCTGCAGAAAGTTGGCGACCTCTTCGCACTATGCGCGTCAGCATCCGCTGACCCCGCTCCGTCAGTTTACGTGGCCTACCACTTCGTGGCTGAGTTGCTGTCGTTCCCAAACACTTCCATTTTCTTATAATACAGCTGACAGTTGACTGTGGAATATTTAGGAGCGAGGAAATTTCACGACTGGATTTGTTGCACAGGTGGCATCCTATCACAGTTCCACGCTGGAATTCACTGAGCTCCTGAGAGCGACCCATTCTTTCACAAATGTTTGTAAAAACAGTCTGCATGCCTAGGTGCTTGAATTTATACACCTGTGGCCATGGAAGTGATTGGAACACCTGATTCCAATAATTTGGATGGGTGAGCAAATACTTTTGGCAATATAGTGTATATGACAATAACATCAGAAATGTTACTTCTATTTATATATTATCTATAAAAAAACAAAAAGATAAGCCCTGATGTAGTAAAACCAAGATTGTAATTCAGGTCGAGGTGAACAGGGACTAAGGTAACAAACAGAGGTGACTCCATAATATTTGGGCTACATAAGATAATGTTTCAGTTTCAGCATGGCCACAGTTACATTACGCTCAGTGTCAACAGTCCGGATTCTGATAAACTCCTGTTTAAAAAAGGCTATTATTCAGCTCATCCTGTAAACAGGCCTATCATTCGCCTGCATATTCCAGCCAACAAAGCATTTTATCTTACAAAGATTGCAAACTTACTGCAAGTAAAACTGATTTGACAGGAGATCGGTAAAAGTATGTATTCCAAATAAACACAACAGTGTTTATTTATTCACAATAAAAGAACAGGAGATCAAAGGTGCTTCTGATGCCTCAGACTGTTTCTATTTGTATTATAAACTGCATGCATCTTCATCTTATGTGCCCGCTGCAGAGCATGTGTTATGATGGAATTATAAAACTGTCCTTTCCCTGTTTTGCCTTGTTTAACATAAGGTAAATTATAGTGAGCAACTTTGTTCACCTTCTACAGTTAAACATCTTTTGTAGAAGGATCCATCTCACATCAGTCACACCTCAAAAAAGATTTAAGTTTAAGTTATTAATTTGCATTCATACATTTAAACACACAACAAAAATAATAAAAAAAAAAGGTTATCATGCAGATTTAGCATATTAGAAGGCAGTCAAGAGATAAAAACAAATCTAAATCGAACAAATATCCATGTCTGAAGTTGTCACTAGCAATAAAGATCCCTTTCAGGCCAAATGGCTGCTAATCCATTTATCCACCAAGCATAGTGGTGGCTAGGGGTGAGTATTGGCATGGGTGTTGCAATACGATACGCGTCACGATACTTGAGTCACAATACGATATTATCATATCACTATATACCGCAATATTTTTCCCAGCCATCCATCAAATTAAATGATAAATAAAATGTAGAAAATAAATGATAGATAAAAAAGCAAGTGCTGTAAATGTTCATTGGAAGATATTGATCATTTAGTTATTTTAATATCCACGTTGTTTGAGGTTTGAGTCATTCTACATCAGTCCACGTCTTCCACTTCCAGATATGTTGCCCTGCCGCACAGCAAAAGGGATCCACAGCAGTATGTGGCAGAGTGGCGGTTTAATACTAGGAACTGAAAGATTGCCATTATATCAGGAGCAGAAAATCCCAATATATTGCCAAATCGATTTTTTCCCACACTCCTAGTGGTGGCACTGTTATGGTGTGGGGATTCCTTACTTAGTAGGGACCGGGAAGACTTTCCATAACTAATCATGAACTCTAGCCTCTGCATTAAGGAGACTGGCTCAGCAGCTCTGAGTTTGTGACCTTAAACTGAAGCAGTAGGACAATGATCCATCATACCAGCAGCGCCACTTATTCACTGGCCCAAATTCTTCCAAAACAATGTCAAAAACTGAATGCTGCTAAAAATAAGCTTTAGATTTACTCACCACAGCTTTGATAATAAGGTTTGTTTAAACTGTAACATTTTAGGGTAAAAAAAAGTAACAACTGATGACATCCATAAGGGAAAACAATTATTTTTTCAACTGCAAAGAACCTCATAAAAGCTGAAATGTAAGTCTACATTACAGCTTTCTTATTTAGGGAAGTTTAGCAGATTCCCACATGCGCAGAGAACAAATTCAGCAAGAACAGGCTTTCCATTACACGTATAATTGGAGTATTACTGTCACCGACCACCCCCCCATCCCCAGCAGGAGGTGGGTTGTTAGTCTGCATCCCGTACCACCCGCCTACAGAAGCCTGTTGCTCTGACAACTGCAGCCCCAAGCTAATGACCTCCCCTGGAGTTAGTGTGTATATGTGTGTGTGTGTTTACATGTGTGTGAACAATAGGAAGAGATGCAGCTCTGTCACAAAGAGTCAACGGCAGCTTCACATGGATATAAAATGAAAGAGTACAAATGGGGGGTTGGAGAAGAAAAGGGGAGTAAGGAAGTGATGAAAAGAGGAAAGAAGTGTGGAGTTTCTGAGGAAAAGAAAAGACTAAAGAGAAAGTATGAAAGAAGCAGGAAAGAATTCCCTCATTTCAGTGAAGTCTCCAACCCAATCCACCTCCAATTTCCTCTGGTCTGACTGGTCGATAGCAGTGGTAATTACTGGTAAATGCTCTCAGCTCTGCAGCGCTCCTGAGGGAAATGTTGGTTTTCTTGTATAAAGGGTGAGAGGGTTCCCTCGTCAACAATCATTCATAAGCGGGACATTTGTGTGAACTCTTCCATAAACATGTTTAATCATCTGTATTCACGCTTAAGCTTCTAAACCAGATTAAACTGTTCATGATTTCATTTGAATTCAGCATACACAGTTGAGAGACAGGTAAGTTCTACAGGCTGGATTTTTGTTGAAAATATTTTCTAGGTTCCCCAATGACATAAAAAGAAAGAAAGAAGAAAAAAAAAGGAGAGCAAGCAACACTATCTCCTTGGTTGGCCTCACGTTGATCGATTCCTCCGCCCTCCCCAGCCCTGCCCATCTAATGTAATAAAGCAGGCCGCTCCCCTAGACAGCACCAATCAATCTACAGAGCCATTCATTCTGCCTCTGGGCTCAGCCGGCCGGCCCTAACTGGGGAAATGGAGACAGAGCCCCATCGATCACAAATAAACACACATCCACACATGCGCAGGGATACGGTGCAACACACATAAACAACAACCATTAACACACAAACACGTCCATGCTCACAAACACACCGGGACCACACACTAAATACATCAAAACCCCACCAGAAGGAAGTAGGAGAGAAAGAGGGCAAGAGACAGAATCAAAAAGATGTAGAGAGCAGAGATGGGCGCCCATACCTGTTTATGCATTTCAATGTTGAGGCCATAGGACATCTCATAGTACTGAGGATGACAGAGAGTCAGAGGGTTAGCTTTGATTGTAACAATAAACTCTCAGCAATGACGTTAAGTTCACTTACTTTCCCTTTGTCCTTTTTATTCACATTATTATAAACAAACTAAGTTTTAATCAACAGTTCAAATGGGACTGTAACTTAACCATCTTTGACATGCCTTTAGCTGACAGAGCAACACTCTTAGAGGAGGAGTTATACTGAAATTGTACAAATATACCTTATTTTGCATTGCAGAATAAAAAAAAAATGTTTTTGTCGTCGATATTCTCTATCCAGAACTCAAAAGGAAAAAGTTTAGTGTCACTTGGTTTAATGCTGTAAAAAATCTTCTTTAAGGAACTTTTTGATATCAGATTATTAATCGAAAAAAAAATAGACATATTATTCATTTAGCAAAATAATAGTTATTTGCAGTCTAATCTAAACCGTTGATTCTCAAAGTTGGGGCCACCAGAGAAATTAAACTAAACAAAGATTGATGCAAGTGATTAACGATATAAAAGCAACTACTTTTATTTTTGAAGACATTTCACATCTGTCTAATTCATTTTGTAGAAAAAGTTGTATACCACTAGGTCATGGGTCAACTCAGGTACCGATTCGTAAGTCAGAAGCTGAAAAATTTGGGAACCTCTGATCTAAACTGTAAACTGAGTCTATGGTGATTCTTTTTCAATGTGCTGTGAATAATTGTACAATTTTAATTCAACAATATTGCTAATCAACGCTAGCTTCCACATTTATTTTGTTTTCTAGATTATTGATCGCTAGTTAAATGCTCACAGGTGCAAACACAATAAGACAATCTGTTCATCGTCAGATACTTTTAAGAAAGAATAAGGGGGAGATGTTTGCTTCATTTTATTTTGCAATAACCAAAAAATACTGCAAACTGTTTAACTTGGCCAAAATATGAAAGATTAGTTAGACAGGCCTCCATAGGAGTCATTGGTGTGCTCCTGAAGGGAAAAATAAAAGCACAAAATTAAACGATGAAACTTTATGCCTAGGATATGTTTCTAGTTTGTTTAAAGGTCATCGTTTTGTGTGTAATATTGAAATACTTGTAGGATTCTTAAAGTCAATGCTGTTTCATTTTGCCGTTGTGTTCCAGGGTACTGCTGCAGTCATTTAGGTTATAAAGTATCCACATTAGACACTTCCCTTCCTTTGGAAAGATTAAAGTTCACTTTTACATCTGGTCAGGGAACAACACAATCTACCCCAAGGACACAGTTCTGCAGTTTGTCATGTGGAACATTGCAGGGCCAGTAAATTGAAAGCCAGGGGACTTACCATGACATAGTGTCTCTGCATCTCTGTCTTTTCACTGGCCAGCTTCTCACACTCTAACTTAAGACTGAAATAGAAAAAAAAAACGTGTTATACATTTGCACATCTTGCCTAAAACAACAACCTCTACTTCAAACTCCATTAGGTCACAAAGTAATCATGTTGCTCTGTTGTCAGATGTTGGAAGTCAGAGTGTTGGGTGTGGGAGGTTTGGCTCCCTCTTGCTTTATTGAGATGTTAAGTTAAAAACACAACGCAGTTTTGCAGCCAAACCAACCCCAAAAACAGAGAGAAACGGCTGCATAAACGAAGATCACTGCACCCTCGCAGCCCAGCCCACAACTGCTACACACAACCATGGGAAAAAAAAGAAAAAAAAAAATCAGGGGTAATTTATGAAACCCTCAGCCCACAGGCCACCCTTTGGCTCTCACCCATCACTGAGGCTTAGACCTACCGCAGACTAAGCACCAACGCTGATGCATGTTGCAAATGTATGCGCTTTCATGTTCATGTATGTGAACCAGGTTTATGGGTTAGGCTGAGACTAGAATTGCTGTTTTCTTTGTGGTGAAGAGGAAATGACTGTGGGTAGTGTGAGATTTATAGTTAAAAAATAAATAATGTGTGGAGGGGGGTTGGAATCCCCTGCTAGGACTTGCACTGTGTTTGCCTACTTTTAAAGGGGAGGCCTTAGACTTTCATTTTGAATAATGCTTAGCGTAAGATTGGCTTGAAGCTGTGGTCTCAAACTCCAGTCACTTTCAGATTAATCTCTGCTTCAACACACCCGACTCCAATATGTGTTTATAAGCCGACCTCTGAACAGTTTCACTGCATGCTCATTCAGCCATTTGATTTGAAAGTCTAATTTTTTAAACTGGTTTTTAATACTTAAGAGACATTGTTTATGCTTATGATTTCAGTTTTTGCAATGTTGAAATGTTTTTATCTTTCTGTGAAGCACTTTGTTTGGTCTTCCTGGTGTTGTTGTAAAGTGCTATATAAATAAGCTTTGATTTGATTTAGGTCTGCAAGGCTACCAACATATCTAAAAGATGCAGGGCACCAGCCCTCATCTATTTGAATTAGAGACACCTGATTTTGAGCATCCAAAGCTACTTTTCATCCTCCTGATCCTTTCTTATAGAACAATCAACAATTGTATTTATCACTTCAAGCCTTTCAGTTCTGCCGTCACCACATGCTTGGTCAGAATAAGGCGACAGGCTTCCCTAGATTCCATTATAATCATTATTAGAACTACTCTGTAATGAAATCTGTCTGCAGAGTTTGGACTGGTTTAGACTTTCACCTGCTTGTCTCAAAGTGCCTGGAGATGACACTTGTTATTAACTGGCACAATAAGAGTGAAGCGAATTGAACTGTACTATCCACCTGTGGTATTGTGCTTGAAGAAACTGGAACTCCTCCTTTATCCGGTCCAGTGACTCTGGAATGGTGAACTTGAAGGGCTGGCCTGGAGCTTGATGGGGCGTCTAAAACAAAAACAAAGAGAATCATCATCATCAACAACAACATCACCTGGAATATGTTTATGAGCTTTAGGGTTGGTCAGGTCAATGACAGGATTCTTATATCTATATTCTTTGCTGTCCTTAACGGAGTACCTTTTAAGTCTGATATATCAGGATCATATATTTAGGTGAAAAATTCAAACTTATATTTTAAGCCTTAACATTTTTTAGAGATTAAAACAGTGCAACATCTAAACCTCCAGATTGGTGCTGTCAATAGAAAATCCTGCATGCATGCATCTGGATGCCACACCAAATGTCCGTTTAGTCTCCCAAGTAAGATTTGCACATACGAGTTAATTTTACTAAATGTAGCTTGGATTGGTACTGATCATGGAGGGAAAAAAATTTTTCTGTTCCCTGGGATTGGAATCGGCTGCAGCAGGACTTGAGCTGAAGGAGTTGATCTCTTTAAATGCATCTAAGGCCACTCTAAACCTGTTAATAAAACCAATTTCTCGTAAACATATTGACTAATTTCAAATCCTATTTTAGGGTACTTTTATTGGGTTTTTTTTTTATATATTTTATCTGAAATGTATTTTCATGGCTGCCTTTATTTGGAATATTCTATGAGCTGCTGCTTGAAACAAGATTGATTATTAACAAAGATCTATCTGGATAAATAAAGAGTTCATGAATATACCATTGCAAATGTCTTCAATTAATATAATATTTGCAGGTTGTTAAACCAAATTGCCAAGAGCAGTCCTTCAATGTTGGATGGAGTCTCGCTGCAGCAGATGCCATCAGCTGCCATGGACGCTAAAGGTCATACTGTTTGAAGCAATAATTACAACTCAATTTCCTAAAAGTGTGCAGCCCTAGTCCTAATTTAGTGAAATAAGTCAACGTAGAGTGGTTCTGTTTGTGGAGAACAGACTGTTTGAATAAGATTATTAAAATAAACAGTCAAACACAACAACTTTGTGGTTTGCTTACTTTAAAAAGGCATTTCACAAACAAATATGTAAGAGTTATTAAGATAATAATCATGATTAATCAATTATGTTAAGACGGTTTTCCTTATTTTCCTTTGCCACAATGTCTAAACCCCTATTCTGAAACATCTGAAAACATTGGGTATCAAACTCTGGGCAGATCTTACAAAAAGCATCCAACGTGTGATAATGATGTGCTGCTCTGGTTTAACATTACATTACTCACTTACAATAACAAATATTAAAAAATAAAATAAAAAACTTGTTTTTTTTTATAGTCAGAGATCTTTAACAACAACATAAAGTTACTAATGTGACCCTTTGAGGAAGTAATCCACACCTATAACTTCTCAAATACGCAGATTGTATGTATAAAGTATTGTAAACATAAACAGTCTGTCTTTTGCAATGCATTTAATGCAACAATACCTGATTTGTCTTCATGTTTGAAATTTGCTTGTAAGAGATAATTTCTATAACTTGTATCATAAGTGCTATTAATACCAGGATGCATCATAAAATTTGTTGTTTATCTTACAAACTTAATCTGAAATGACACCATCCATTACTCTACTGGCACTTCAGCTTATATGGGAGGCGCATTTGAAATACCCCCAAACTTTTAAGTTATTCGCAATCAATCCACTTTGCTCCTATAAGCAAATGTAGGATGAGATAAGCATAGGGAAAGGCTTGTGATGAGGTGTGAAGTGTAAACACTGGTTTTCTGCCAGGTGAGGCGTTGCTGGAGGGGAAGGAACTTACCGGGTGTCGCCCCTGGGGAAACATCTTCTCTCTCCTGGGGGGGCAGGGATGCCTCAAACCCCGTTAATGAGGAACCAAACGAACAACAGGGTGTAAATAAAGCTCCCGATCAAGGAAATAAATCCATCCGCTTTATTTACGACGTTCTGGTTGGGATTACAGACTGTTTAGTGGACGTCTCCAGGTCCTCGTCTCTTCCTGTGCGGGGGTAACTGCCAGGTGGGGAAGAAAGGAGAAACAGCCTCACCGACTCCCCTAATGGCTCAAGGGTAATTCCAGGTAGAAAGAAGCCACAAAACAGTCAGACGAAAAGAACAACAACCCACGGAGCCGCAAACTGCCGTTTCCCTGTCATAACATCAAAAACATATATCCACGGAAGTTAATTTCTGGGAAGAGTTCCCACTTGACTCGCCGAGGTCTCTACTTGTCGGTTGCAAAGTCAAAACATCTTAAATCTGTGTTTCCTCATCGAGTTTCCGAGGAATATAGAGTCCATTTGGATGTGAGGGAAAGAGAAGTAAATATATCGCTGGTTTAAAGCGAAAATCCCCGCAGCGGCACAAGAGCTCTCGTATCAAACCTCCGCTTTACCTCAATGGCAACTTTCTCACGCGGTTTCACGCTCAAAGTCTATTCGACGTTACAGCCCTGCCCCCCAAAATGGTTTCTGACCAATCAGAGCCGGCGCTCCACGTGGGGTTAGGGACTTGGATTCTGAATCAACCAATGTCCGTGAGGCAAACCTCCTTCGGTCCGTTGACCTCGGGGAGCTGTGAGGACGCCAGCCAATCAGCGCGCCGCGTGAAGGCGCTTCTTGTGGAAGCGGTGGGCTAGTGCGGTGTTGTAAAGGCAACTCTTAGCTGTCAATCAAAGTAACGTGGGGACTCAGCAGGAGGGGAGGGAGCGTACACATGTGCGTAAACACGCACAGGCAAATCAACCCAGACACAAAAAAAAAAAAAAAAAAAAAAAACACAAAGCATCCGTAAACCTTACCCTTTTACTGTGAACCATTTTTGTCCCTGGAATAAAGACTGCTTAATTGATTACTAACTTTTATGGAAGTTTTTATGGAAGTTCAGCAATTAAACTCCCTTTTGGATCTGATGATCCAAATATTAACCTTACATGAAAAGTAAGAATTTATTTAATTTGGGATGAGCATTTCCATTTATATTTCTATTTTTCTTGTGACAGCTAAACCTTCAGGATCTTAAAAAAAATATGGAAACGAAATAAAAAATTATATCAAACAAAAACAATATGAGCAAATACAAATATAAACTTTGCTTTTATATAAAGGGAATAGAGCTGTCCAAAGCAACTTGGCCATTTAAGAAAAAACAGCTGCCCCGTAAACCTAAGAACTGGTTTTAGCTGTAGTCTGAAGAACAGCCAGCAAGACTCTGCAATAACCCTTATTGCCATAAAGCTATTTTGTCTCACTTTAATGTGTATAAATGTTTTAATTCAGTCACAATGGAGTGTTTTGAGCATAAAAAGTATATTTAGGATCATGCCGTATAATCAGAGTTAAGTGCAGACTTTGACTAGGCCAATCAAAAATCTACCGTCAAATAGACTCTTTTGGATCATTTTATTCAAATATGGGTGAGAGAGTTTTCAATCCTGCTTCAGTTTGTAAAACTGAAGCAAAAATAAAACACATTAATTGCAGTTATTTTATGATTCAATAAAAGAGTAAATACCTTTTCACATCGAAACAACTTAGCTTGAATCATTTTTTTCCTTATTAAGTAAAATAAATATTTGGAAATTGTGTACACTATCTTTTTCTGATAATTTGTTTGGCTCAGATAGTTAAGTGAGACAGGAAAAGCAAAAATCTTTAAGGAGGAAATCCTTTTTCTTCTGAATTTATGGGTTCTTCTGCGTTCTAAAGTGTGTTTGGCATTACCCAATTCTACATTGGTGTTAGATGTTATTTCTAAAAATGTCAAGCAAGTATCACTTGGATTTCAGAAATTCAGAAAAAGAAAAGAATCTGATTATGCTCCTCATCAAAAGGTATAGTGGAGGATGTTGTTTTTCAAAATAATTGTCAATCGTTCTGGTGATATGATTGACAATTGATTGTTATGATTACTCGTCTCCATTTTCACTCACCAGTGGTGAGGCTGACATAGTGGAAAAATAGCAAATCTTCTTTTTTAAAGTAAGCTTGTATGAGCGATGAAAATAGCAATTTTAATACAGAGCATGCAAGAGGGGAAATGGGCTCGTCAATTGATCAATCAATCAATTTGTGAATTGTCAACTACAATTTGGATTGTAATCGAGATTTCGGTTCCAGTACAAACTGTTCATCACAAACATCACATACGGGCTGACAGGGGGACTCTTTTGCATGGTCTCGCACACGTTTAATACGCATTCCACCTCGGGAGCGGGTACAGGGTTGTGCATGCGCATTTTTTTCAAAAATTTGGGAAAATCCTCCACTATAACTTTAATATGCATTTAATGTTTACTGGTGTTTACAATTGTATAAATTGCACATTTTCTGACATATTTTAATCAAAAAAGTAAAATAGACTGGGTTAAGAGAAAAGTTGTCATAGATTACATTACCTAAAAGATATATCTTGCTCTAAATGTAATTATCCTCTCCCTAAAGCTACCAGCTTTTATAGGTGTTCTTGACCAGTGTCAGAGCTGCTCACAGAATATAAAAAAGATATATATTACCATGTTTGATCCCAAATATTTAATTACAATATGAGCTTGATGAAATATGGTTGCTTCATGTTGTGCAAACTTGGATTTCTCCCAGATTTCTTAAACTGATTATTACACTCATAATGAAAAAGATGTAAACACCAGTAAACATTAAATGCATTTTAAAGCAATCGATTGCCATTATTAACTGTTGCCATCAATTTCAGTTCTTGTTTACAGTTTGGAGAGAAATGTACAAAATAACAAATGAGCTGTTTTACTTGAATTAAATCTGATCTTATAATTGTATTCGATGTCACTTATCTGGCTGTATATTAAGACAGGTTTATCTGGTGGAGGGTTTTGTTTCTATTTCAGGTGAATTTAGTTAGTTTGGAAATTGGTGTTTGGCTGATGTTAACTAATTTTTTTGTGTGTATTTAGTTGAATTTTTTTGTTGTTGTTTTTTTGGTTTGTTTTCAAATTGTCTGTCTCAAATTGTCTAAAGTAAATTCATATTTATTTATTCATTCATTCATCCTATAATCGTTGTGTTATAACATCTGGTTTCATTTTGTTTCTCAAAATATTTCATTGAAAATACAAAGCAGATGTCTTTGTGCTGGAGAACCCATAGCATCTTTCTATAACAAACCAACATAGGACATGGATCGCTTGAGCTGACCCTAGCTGCTTTTAAATGTCATTTAAAAAACAAAGTACTGAATGTTGGAAACTGTATATCATATGCCAGTCTTATGTTTAAATTTTTTATCACTGCTGCACTTTAAAAATGGAAATGTCTTGAGAGCTGTACTGAACAAAATGTCATTTTGTATACACTCTGTGTATACAAAATGACAATAAAGTCTGTGTAAGTCTAAGTCTAATGTAGGGGATCAGCGGACCTGACTGGCTTTTAAAGACATGTCTGATGAAAAACCGACATGATAAAGTGAGTGCAGTGTGGCTGGTTGGAACTGGATCATACAGACCAAGAGGTTTCTCTGCTCCACTTAACCCATCTAAACACCCCTCACTTCACAAGGAACCCCCCCAGAGCCCCACGCTGACCTCTGATTGGCTTAAAGAGCTCAACCCCTGACCCTTTAACCTCTGACACCTGCAACGGCTGATCCAGTCCATATGGGAGACTCCTGACTGTGACCAACCGTCAGCTTTTTTCCAGACCTCACAGTCTTGTATGAACTTGCAGGTGCTATTGAATGTGGTGCATTGGTGTTGGTGGTTGTGAAACTATGCATTGATTTGTGTTTGTACATGTGTGTGTGTGTGTGTGTCGGGGGGGAGGTGTTGATGTCATTTTTACAATTGACAAAGCTTTAATGTAACCTCGCCAGTCTTCATCTGTATTTTGATCTGAGCTGTTGGCTCAGGTTTAAGCTTTCCTAATTCATATCAGCTTCAAATCTGAATTTTTGTGCTGTTTTATACAAATGAGCATTTTCTGTTGGTGCATAACTTTCTCTCCATACTGTGAATAAATTGAAGCGTTATGATTTTATTTGAAGTATATGCACCAGGTAAAAAATAAGATCAATAGTTAACTTAAAAGAAACAACTACATTTTTTATATTACATTGACGAAACATTATTTCTGTAGCTGATTTGGAATCATTGATGTTCCTAAACAAAATGATCAAAAATCATACCTACATTAAACCACAAATAAGTTAATTTAAGGCTCAACTTTTCAAAGAAATCTGTTTTTCAGACCTTCAGCAACTTGAATATTTTAGCATGAAAAACCTGCAGGTGTTTGTTATCATTATTATTTGTTACATATTGATAGAGCCCTTTCCACAATCCCTGGATAAATGTACCTAACAGTCATGCTTTTGGACTGTGGAAGGAAGCCTGAGTACCCGGATGCACAGGGAGAAGATGCATACTCCATGCAGAAAGACTCCGGACTGGAATCAAACATTTAGCCTTCTTGGTGCAAGGCAGTAGTGCTACCCGCTTCACCACTGTGCAGCCACTTATTTCATTTCGAATCAAAAAAATCTGACAACAACTAGGGCACTTGGATATAGACCTGCTGCCATTTATGAAGAATCTGGTTAACAGTAAGATTGTATTAAGCTGTGAAATAGTAGGTATTTTTGCTTATTTTGCGTCCTTTAGAGATGTTGCAAAGGATCTAAATGATATGTAGTAAAAATATTTCAGTCACGCAGACATGTTGACATGGCTGTACCTGAATGTTTCTTCATAAGTGATTAAAAAAAAGAGATTGCAATTGGTAAGGAAGCATCCTGGCAATAAAAAAAAAGAGCTGCTCTAATGCTACAACAGTATCTCGTACTCTCCATGTATCTGCATTAGTATGACTCAAATACAAAAGGCATCCTTAAGCCAGGCTAAAATCCACCCCAAACCCAAAGAACAAGGTGTGGTCTGAGGAAAACAGTCATAAACAAAAGACACATTTACACTAGATAACTAGCATATGGCAGTGGGAGCATAATGCTATGGGCTTACTGGTCTTCAAAACTGAACTATTTCTCATGGTGGTGAATAAAATTAAATCAGTTTCAACCTTTACCACCTCACACAGCCATTATAAATATATTTGTATCCTTCAGTATATAGTCACAGAAGAACAGAACTGTTGGTACCCTTCTTTTAATGGGAGAAACATCCACAATGGTCCCAGAAAGGTCTGGAAAAAAATGATGGTACCTCTATGAAAGACAAAAGTACATGTAAATTAAAATTGTATTAAACTGGACAAAAGAAAATCAGGAGTTGCTTTTCAGCCAGGATTCAGGAGAATAATGTAAAGAAATAATCTTATGAAACAGGCCTGAGCACAGTAACCAAGATAACTGTTGAGTGTAAATTGAATATGACCGAACTGGTCTGTGCCAGAAACAACTGAACTGTGCTAAATCTAGTAGTTCAA